ATTAGTAGTACTAGTATTAGTACTACTGATACTACTAGTGCTACTACTACTGCTGCTGCTACTACTACTACTACTGCTGCTGCTACTACTACTGCTACTGCTATTGCTACTAGTACTACTGCTGCTACTAGTACTACTAGTGCTAGTACTATTACTACTAGTGCTAGTACTACTATAACTACTGCTACTAGTATTACTACTGCTACTAGTACTACTGCTGCTAGTATTACTACTAGTAGTAGTACTACTACTGTTACTAGTGCTACTAGTACGAGTACTACTAGTACTAATACTACTAGTGCTACTACTACTATTGCTACGACTTCTGCTACTACTACTATTACTACGACTTCTGCTACTAGTACTACTACTGTTGCTACTAGTACTTCTATTACTACTACTACATTATAATTCTAATGTCTGTGTGTTAAAATTTCTTACCTTAATCTCCTATAATTTTAATGTAATACAGGTTATTTGCTTGTACACACAAAATATTTTCAGATTGATTTTCTTCTGTATATTCTTTAAATTTTGTCTAGTATTGTATTTCACACTTTTCATCTCTCAAGTGAAGTGTTTATCAGCCCTAGTTACTTTCATGTTATTTTTTTATGCTGCGGATGCACACGTCAAACATATTTTAAGGAACTTTAAAGTTTTTTTATTTATGTTTACTGGACATGATGTTTTCTTAAATTTGTCTTCCTCCGCAACATTGCTGATCCATTTCTCTCATGTGTCACTTCAGAGATGTGGTCTGGGTCGCTGGCTAGGATTCCAAGCTATTTCTGTCATAATTTGTTATATAGGTTAAGTTAAGGTTTGTCAGGAAACTGGACAAGCGTTTGCAGACGCGGGTTTTAATTATATGATGACCCGCAGCCGGATTAATATTATCATGGGGAGCGCTAAACTCGTAGAGATTACACAGTGCGTGTGGGGGGGGGGGTATGGAAGGCATTCAGACTCACTTCAGGGAACTGGAGCACAGATCCTATTCCCTAGATCAAGAGCCCCTCACCCGCGTTAAGGAACCTCTCTAGAGGGGCCCGCAGCTGGAGCTTTGTCATCTGACCGAGGCCTTCCGCTGGCTTACCAGTCCATCCCTTTAAAAATTTTGGTTATGATGTTACATAGTCGCATACGACTGAAGTTTGCTTTTCTAAGCCTCCAATATTTTGTTTATATAATTGCTATTGAGTATTTGAGTCAAGTTGACATCTGAGGTATTATTTTAGGTTGACATAATTTTATCTTTCATAATGAAGTCTTGTTGGAAATTATAGGTGTATAGTTGTGTGTAATATTTGAGGTACTGCGTTGTGTGTATCTGTTTTACGTACGCACATACACAGGTGTGTAAAAGGAAGGGTGTGATGAGATACAATGGTGAGTAATGGGGTGGAGGACGCATGGGGAGGGTGGGGGCTGAAGGTCGTCGGCCAGGGTCGTGACGAAGATACTGAGTAGGTGTGGTGGTTGCCAGTGATGTTGGGTGTCACTGGGTGTGGTGAGTACCATTGGTAGTGGTTGTCGGTGTCTGTGGAGGGATGAGTAATAGTAGTGGTAGATAGAATTGACCTAAACTAACATAACGAATGTTTAATTTTGATGAATGTTTAGGGTCGGTCATAAATCAATGACGTGTAGTAAGTACCAAATCTCATGTCCTATTTGGAGGAGAGTTTGTCTTTGCAACAGCTGACACAGTGCAGATGGGTGCCCTGTGTCCCAGCTGGCGGGTTGAGTTAAAACACACGCGGTGTAGAGTACAGGACTGAAAATTGTCTTTGAATACAGTGTGACGTGATATACGGGGTGAGTGCGTGCAGGCACAGTAGCAGCCCTCACATGTATAACCCTACTGTTGAAACACTGACCACACCACCAACGAATGACTGCCCAAGAGTAAGTAAAAAAAGCAGTTTGAGAATAATATTGTTTAAAAGGTTAAAACGGAAGCGAAGTTACTTTATGTACCTAAGGTATATCTGTCGTGACCGGTTTCGAAAGTTTTTGTACTCTCGCAACCGGCCTGAGGTCAGTCATTGTTGATTTTCTTGTTCAATCAGGCTATTTCTGTTAACGACCTGCTGACTCACAAAGCCACCACTCTTGTTTATTTGGCTCTTAGCCGAGGCAGTAGTCCAGTTTGTTGTTGAAGACTAATGCACTTGTTCCGTCAGTATTTCTGATAACCTGCTGGTAAGAGGCTGATTAATCTTAAGTCACACATATTTACACATTGTCTTGTGCTCATGGCTTCCCTACTTTTCAGTGGGTGTATTTTACACTTCTATAGCTTTCACTTCAGTACGTTGTGATAGTGAGTAGATTTGGAACAAGGCCCTCAAGTATTTTCCATGTATATACTATCAGGTATATCTCTTCTCCGCCCCCGTTTACCAATTTGAAGACTAAGACAATAAGACGGTTACCACCGGGAATTGATTCCAAGAGGACTTAAGGTTGTAATAATGTTGGTAGAATTACCGACAATATGTCAAGTAAAAGGACACAAGTGCAACTAATGTGACATTTTATTGTGGCAACGTTTCGCTCTCCATGAGCTTTGTCAAGCCGGCTTGACAAAGCTCCTGGAGAGCGAAACGTTGCCACAATAAAATGTCACATTAGTTGCACTTGTGTCCTTTTACTTTACAGGACTTAAGGTGTAAGAGGACCACATACTTGTACATATACCCTTGTGAAGTGGCATGCCTGATAGGAACCGTAAACAAGAAACAATTTTGTATGAAATGGTAATGTATACCGCCAGTATGATGATGATGATAACACATTGTCATTGTCATTAAGAAACAAGTTACACACGGTTCGGCAGGACGCGTGTTTGATTTTCCTTCAGTTGGAATCATCACCGAGACTGTTCTTTGATGATCGGGCACACACCTCACCCACAGCCATCTATTTGCTGGTGTTCCTGCCCTCTACTGCCCCCCCCCCTCCTTTATCTGCACAGCTTGTGGCATGCACATGACTGTGGAACACAATTTAACTGTTTGCCCACGACTTGGCTCTTTCGCTTCTTATGCCGTGGTTTTTGATTTCCGGGTTTGCCTGTATGGATCTCGGGACTTTTAGAATTTTTTTGACATTAACGGTTTAGTGAAATTTTTAACATGGTGTGATAGGTTTTGTTTTATTCTAATATTACTTCGCGTGTTTTTTGAATTACAAAGACCACGAAATGATCAATCTATCGACACACTTTCACCCATAAGACTGGTCGAAAAAATTAAGTTTAATTCATGTAAAGCAGAAATGGGAGGGGAGACCGGAAAGGTGAAGTGTTTGGTACCAGGGGAGATAGGACCTGATAATGAACATCGCGTCGAACATATCGCTAAAGGTGTACATTAATAGGTGACAGCGGTGACAAATTTCAACTGCTTAGATATGAGAGGACTGAAAACCTCACAGCAGCACATTATACGGAACGTATGTAGACCATATTATGGAATGTAAAGAACATGAATAAAACTTGAGAATTAATTATGGTAGAGGGTATGTCATTTGGAACACGATGACGCATAAGAAAGGCTATGAAAATGACAGGGTAGATTATACGATCTTCCTCATGAGACGCAACGACGAGGGTCGTACACACACAGACACTGACAGACAGACAGACAGGCAGGCCGACCTACTTGTAAGATATACTGTACGTGAAAGATACTCGAGGACCTCATCACTAACCTGTACATTGCTATAACAGCATACTGAAGTGCAAAATATGGAAAAATGTGCAGAATAGACCCTATGAAGATGATTATAGAATGCTGTATCATTTGAAAACGTATAGTAAAGGATGACAAATTTCCCATGTAACTGAATCTGCATTCCAGAAAGGCGTAGAATTGGGGGGTGGGGGGGGGTATGTGATTGAGGTGTATAAATGTTAAACAGGAATAAAGAGGATATAAATGACGTACTAAAAATATCTAACCAAGACAGGATTCACAGCAGTGGATTCAAGTTGGAAAACTTTTGATTTAGAAAGGATATAAGAAAGCATTGGTTTGGTAATAGAGCTGTGGATGAGTGGAACAACCTCCCGAGTAGCGTCAAGCGAAAACTTTGATAGCTTTAAAAATATGCTAAAGAAACCATACCACAGATGGGGCTTGAACTCGCGGTTAATGAATCGTAAAACTCCAGACCGACGCGTTAGCCACTGGGCCAGCTGGCTACAATAAGATTCATCCAGCTAGGTATATTTATATCCCATAGGAAGGTTATCCTATGACATATGGTGCCTATGTCGGTGTAAGTTGGACTTGCCTAGCATGGGTCAGTAGGCCTGTTGTAGTGCCCCTGCCTATTATTTCTTTCTCTCTCTCTCTCTCTCTCTCTCTCTCTCTCTCTCTCTCTCTCTCTCTCTCTCTCTCTCTCTCTCTCTCTCTCTCGCTGATTTTCAATTTGTGTTCTAAAAGTGTTTCTTTTTCCTTCCCTATTCCTGATTTTCTTCGCGTCCCTCTACCGATGCTCTTCTGTTCTTCCCATTTTCTCGATGCTTTTCTCTCCCCTCTCTTGATGCTCTTCTATTGCCTCCACCAACATCCACTTACATTTGTACCTGTGTAATGTTTGTTGTCAATAGGTATAACATGTGATGAGGTGACTTTGGTTACTGTGATGCATACATTTGACAGTGTATATACATAGATGAGCATATCTCGGTGTATATATGACGACACCACCTCAATTCCTATTCAAGGGATTGAAGTATACTTGACTGGTGGTGAACAGGACTTAAACCTACGAAACCACATGAAAGAATAAAAGGACACAAATGCAGAGCGAAACGTTGCCACAGTAAAATGTCACATTAGTTGCACTTGTGTCCTTTTATCTAACATATTGTCGGTAATTCTACCAACATTATTACACATGTAAGAAAGTTTTCTGTAGTTGTATTCTAGTGTTCGTTGTTTCTTAATGAGTATTGTACTAAAGAGTGTGTTGTTGCGTTACAG